TTTGTGGTGTTACGACATGTCAATACATCATCAGGTGGTTTAAGGAAGTTACAAGGCTCTGTAGAAATTTGTAATTTTCTCATACAAATAATTTTAGAAAATATAATTTGTATTTTTGATTACGAGAGTATTTTCAAAAGTACTTCAGTATTATTGGTTGATTCTTCAGCCTGTATGTTTTTAATGTTTCCTGTAGTCATTTCAAATCTACTTTTATTTATCCAGGTTGAAAAGTTGGCCACAATACTGATGGACAGAGATTTTGTGTAAGAAATTATGAAAATAAATAACTAAAATTAAAAATATTCTATGAGTACTTTTGTTTACATACTCATATGGTGTGTTCACTTTGGCTTACAATCATTTCTGACCTCACCATAGGTTTGTCAGGCTCATAAAATATTTGAACTGTTGTATGAATTGTGTTGATTCATTAGCATCTGGTTTATGTCAGAACTTTATCATCTGTGTAATGTGAGAAAATGAAAAGAAAGAAATCACATTATAGATGGGAGCACAGAAAGAAATGCTAAAAGAACAATGCTGTCCTCTAAACCTTTACAAGAGTCAAAAGGCTTAGATTTACCACAATGCAGTCAAAATTAAGGACATTTGTATCTGCAATGACTTTGTTTGAAGGAAAATTGGTAGTTTCATTAGAAATAGTAGCGATAAGTTGGTAACATAAAATACCCTCTTAGCTTTCAAGATGTACATACAGTATGATTAACTAGATTTTTGTCATCCCTAAATTTCTAAATGGCCACAAGATGGACAATAAGGTCATGTATGTCTGTTTCTTTTTTCAGTCACACATGTATATGTGTTTTAAAAGCTGATTTCAGAGTAGAGGACTATTTAAACCTAACTACATGGGAGGGGAAACTAAAACAATTATAATGCATATAATTTTCTGAAGAAAACAGAAAATGTGTTGCAATAATTGTAGCGGCCTCTTGGAATAAACAGCCAAATGCAGGGAGTTCCAAACGGGTGCAGTTTAACCTTGACTTTTCTTGTCGTAGACACCGTGAAAACTGTAGCATGAAATAAAAAGATACATAATTGTTGGGCATGCTTAACTCTTGCATAAATAAACATAGATGTTCACACATAAAAAAAATATGTTGTGTCCTTAACTCGTCACCATACACAAGTTTTGTTTCTAAACAATAAACCACTGACGTTCTACTGCTTTTAAATAAACATGTCTTATCACAAATCACAATTGCGCATAACTCATTCTGCTATTTTACAGATTTTCTTTAGTTTCCTTCAGGCTCTAACGCTGACTCATCGTGGTTAATGTATTGATATATGTTATTATGTTATAATTCAGAGACCTTCCATTGTTGCTCAAGTTTTTTTTTAAGTTGTACAAAAATCATCAGTTTATCAGAATATAATGTTACTTACACATCAGTAAAACTAAAGAAATTAGCTTAATATGTGGTAAAGAAAATAATAAAAAAAAAATATTTCAATCTAAAAGTGCTGGTACATTATACACTATAAATTTCTTGTAATGCTAACTGAAAAAGCACTTAACTAAAATAGAACCGTTGAACTATTAGGACATGTACTAAAAGAAAAATAAATACAACTTCACAGAAAAAATATAATATACATAACAATAATAATACAAAATCTTACAGTACTATTTTATTTTTATTAAATTTGGTCAGATATTATGTGTTTTTGCCAATTTTCAACCAATTTACTGAGCCACTGCCGAGCGCGTGCGGTGACTCATCGATGCTCTGATGGTGTTTGAGCTAACGGAGATTTTGTTTTTTTTCAGTCTCAGCTGCTCTCATGGAAACTTTCAGGGATAAAAAAAAACAAACCGAATTTACTATTTTCAATTATATATTTGAGAAACTATACCAATATTGTTTTTCTTACCGTTTGTCCAGATTTTATAAGCTCTTTCAGGCTCTAACGGAAACAACGGTTAGCTGTTAGCTCTCAACCGTGTCTGACGCGTACTGAGGAGAAACACAGCGCAGTAGTGAAAGGGGCGGGACAATCAACCCCATTGGCTGACTCAATATCAGACCACGCCAGCTATTGGTTGCCCAATCCATCAGCAAAACAATCACTAAAGGCCTACCTCACAGCTTTTTAAAGATTTGTAGCACTTTTTGATATATTTTTCTAAGTAAAACAAAACACAAAATCTATTTAGACTTTACAAATCTTGTGAAAAAAAAGACATCAAATTAACATAATTAACTTTCACTTGTGTTTTTAACACTGGGTTACACTAACAATAGATGACTTCCACTTTGCTTCTGGATTTAAGTTAACTGGACTCCTTGAGTACCCAGAAGGACAAGAAGTTATTGTGGTGCCTTTCTCCAGCTAATGGACTGTGTCCAGGTCGCCAGTGTACCTGGACAGTCCAGGTACACCCTGGACAGGCCGCCAGTCTGTCGCAGGGCAACACAGAGACAGACATGACAAACAACCACGCACACACTCACATCTAGGGAGAATTTAGAAAGACCAATTAATCTGTCAGTCATGTTTTTGGGCTGTGGGAGGAAGCCGTAGTACCTGGAGAGAACCCACGCACAGGGAGAACATGTGGGCTGGGCATCGAACCCAGGACCTTCTTAGTGCAAGGCAACAGTGCTTCTAACTGCTCCACTATGCAGCCTTGACTGATGTAATCATTTATTTGTATATCAATGGATGTCTGGGAAGGCAAGTGATTGTCTGAAAAATAGCAATAAAATCAAAAACTAAATAGCTTCACTCATCTTTTTATGTCTGTTAAATATCTCTCACGCACAAAAAAGCATTCTTGACTTTTTCTGTTTTGCAACACAAAGTCATCAGGTGGATGGACATCATCAACCTCAGAAATAGGTACATACCGTATGTACATTTGGAACATTAATGGTATTTTATTGTCACTTCCTACTTATCTCTACTAATGAAATAAAATCTTCCATCAAAGTAATTTCATTCAAAAAAACTGAACAAGTGTCCTTCAATTTGACTGCTCTATGTAGGTTTTATCTACTTATGCCATTAAATTCTTGTAAATGTTTTATTAGAGTACAGCAATTGTTATCTTAGCATTTTTTTCCACGCTCTCAACTATAAAATGATTCCTTACTTTTGATTTTCTCACATTACTCAAATTATGATGTTCTGACATAGATCAGAAACAAAATAATTAACACATGAATCAATATTAATGATCATGAAAAATTTACACCAGGCCCCGAAATGATTGTAAGCTTATCAGATCTATAACCTGACATTCTGACTCGACATTGATAAGAACACAGCGAGACGGCTGAAATCCCAAATGCAATCCAACTGAATGGAGAATTCTGCCCAAAGACATTTCTGTCTGTCTCTAAATCAGTTCTGCCACACTCCTTTGCAATTGCATATTTATTACAATTGAGGCGTTGCTTAGGTTACAAATCATTTGCGTAGGGGGAAAGACAAACAGAAACACAACTGTCAACACACAGTTGTAATTATTTCTACTACAAAGAAGATTCCTGTCTTTGCATATCTGAGGTTGTAAAATTGCAGTTCTCATGATCCTCCCTCTGGTCATAAGTTTCAGTTACCGGGACTCTGGGTCATAAACTAATGACCCTTTCATCCCAGTAGATGTCAGCTCTTCACCCCAAGGCGGCTGGCATCTGTTGTGTTGTGTTCTGGGGTTCACTGTTTTCTTTAAAGAAAATTTGGCAGTGTTAAAGCAACACCTATAGAGTCGAATTTAACACTGTTTCCGAGTCTATATGTTCCCTATCGGAATTGGTGTTAATGTTACTCTTTCAACAGTGTTACATTTTCAGAGTTAAATTTAACTCTAAATCGAGTAAAAATTTTACACTGGCTAACACTGTGCAGTGTTAATAAAACTTAACACTCCTAGTCAAAATAACTCTGATAAGAGTAAATATGATTCTAATCAGAGTTAATAAGTTACTCCATAATGGTGAAAAAACTACTCTGGTTCTCATGTTATTTAACACTGCATCGAGTTATTGAAAGTTTACACTGGAGGCTCATATAACTCCTATGAGTGTTAAACTGACACTCCACTGTGTAGATAACTTACTCTTTAGCTGTGAAAAAACAACTCTGCACAGATAAATATGAAGTGCTTTTTTACACTTTTGTAGAGTGAAATGTACAACTGAATAAAAATCACATTACCACAGAAATGCATTTAACTTATTTATTGAATTAAAGCAGATTTTAATATTCATTGTTAACTTTTGTCACAGTAACATCACATGGTGTACATCCCATTGACGGCTCGAAGTTGACAGAGTACATTTAAGGCAAAGAGTTTTTCCATCCAAGTAACCATGAACGAACTATTTGTAGATACCAAACAAGTGCATTTGTGCAACTTAACTCTGCCCAACAAATAAAACACATAATGCCAAACAGATTTGTTCAAGTACTACTGAAGCAACCTAGCCCGAATTTCTGCCACACGAGGACTTTCTTTCACTTTACCTACGTCTATATTGTACACAGTGGTCTGGGATGAATGTGAACATGTTGCATAGTATGGGGTTGTATGTTGTGGCAAACACGTAATGTGCCTTAAACAGTTCATCAAAAGCACCAAGAGAGGATGTTGACCTGCAAGCAATGGCATTCTTGTCAAGGATGATGAAGAACTGGTGGGCTACTTTCTTCCTCCGTCCCACAGCAAGGAGATAGGGTTGTGTGCTCGTCGTGATGGCATCAAGATGTTCTTGAATGTTGGTTCCTATCTGTGGGGGGAAAAAAGAAAAGAACAATATAATTACAAAGCTGCAATGTTCCACAAAAAACAGATATATGGAAAAACAGCATTTAACTATGTGACTGAAATTCTCCCAGTGAAACAACCTCGAGTATAACATAAAATAAAATTTGCAACAAATACAAACCTTCTTGAAGACCACAAGACGCTTCTCTGCTTGGGAGGCAGATACCTTCCCTGGTCTCTTACGACCCAAGGCAGAGGGGAATCAGGTGTAGCAGCAGCAAAATCGATGAGAGGTCACTGTCCCAACCTGTGATAAGAAACATTTGATGTTGAATTGACCATCAAAACCTAGTGACTACACAATTTAAATTATGTGTACATCACTAAGTGAAGCTCACACAATAATTAAATTCTACATGTTGTTGAAAGTCATCCTTACTCATGTCATTATCCACTTCAGTGCTATCCTCAGGAGTATCAGCTGCCAGGAGAAGTTCTTCAAGGTCACTGGTGGTTGGAAGCTTCCTGCATTGTTGGATGATCTTCTCTTGAACGTGGTCGTCCATTTTTCCAGAAACTTGCCAGACACATCTTCTCCAAACATCAGGACAAAATCCTGCTCCACCTAGGATGTAGATAGTAAAAAGCTTAAAACATTTCCCAGCCACTTTAACTGTATTCATTTTGACTTGTCACAAAAATACACTATTTTTACATGACTGTAAAATTATCAAAATAAATAATTACCAAGCCTTTGACATCTTTGAAACGTGGAAAGACAGAGAGTATGTTGCTTGACCGTTGGGGGTCAAGGACCATGTTGCGCCGGAAGTCAAATGTGAGCTTCATCTTCTTCTTGATTGTGTCCTCATCAGCTGAATGCTTAATCAGTGCGATGGCTTCCTTGCACTCTTCTTCACTCAGGACAGTCTCTGGAACAAACTTGGTGTCTCGTCTAGCAGCTGGTCCTCCAAGCACTTGTTGACAAGATCCTTCTTCGGATGATGCTAGTAAAAATAAGAAAATCTTTCAACTTACAAAAACAAGAATGAGCTTGGCTGAGATTCCTCAGGCGATTCCATCATGGAGACAAATTCTAACCATAAGAGAAGCAGATAGACAAAAAACAGTAATCACAATGAAATAGCAAGCTTATTAAATACTAAAATGAATTACAAATATAACAAACCAGTTTCATATTCGATGGTTAGGACTCCAGCAGAAGGATCCTTAACAACATCTTCATCCAACTCAGTCCCTGAACTGTCAACAACCTTCACGCCCTCTGTTACAGTTGGTAGGCCAAATTTTACAAATGCTAGAGAAAAAGACAAATGCTTGTCTAAACCACAATTATGAGGTTATGTTGCTCTAATACTCACATGTGCACATAAATTCTGGAACAATACTTTTGAATAAACAATGTCAAGTAACATTACAAGCGCCTCAGAGCTTTGTGTAAAGCTCCCAGTGTCTTACCTGCTGTCAAAAACTCCTTCAGATTCGGCTCCGTTAGTCGGACAAATTTTTGCAGCTCACCAAGTCTTGTTTTAATCAACATGGTTCCTGCAGCACATAATTCCTCAGTCATTCATCTTTAGTACTGGAATGCTTTCAGTTTATGAAACGTGCCAACTGCTTCAAACCAATACAGCTCACATTACATCGTGTTCATAGAAAACAATGATTAAAGTTTACACAATAATGGCTTGGGCGCAAATTAATTTGACTTCTTTGCACTCTTATCCAAGTTAGACAATTAATAAATGCCCTTTCCTTCAGTAACTAGAACAGTTAATTCAACTGCCTCGCTTCTTTTTCGCCTTGTCTGTTAGCACTAGCAACGGTTAATGGCGGAGTCATGCAAGGTTTACAGTAGAGCTATGATGCTGGGCACGGAAAAAAAATCACTCGCGCCAAATTCAGTGTCAACTATGAAACTGGACTATTAGCATCGCTTACGGTTAATTTATGTTGCATTGCAAAAAATAACTAAATAAATAATAAATAAAACAAATATCTATGCTATATGGCTTGGACACGGATTTTAGGCGGACATTTTAAGCTAGGCATTCACTCGGTCAGGTTAGCCGTATAAAACTCAGTATTTAGATATCTAGCCCACTCATATACCGGGGAACAAATAAAATATTCTTATAAAACAATTCAAATTGTATTATTATCTTATAAAAAGAAACTTACCGCAGTCGCTCAAGCAGGAGAAAAATGGCGTCCACACAACGGTTAGACTTGTTGGTTTGAGAGGAGGAGGTGGGCGGAGCTTGTCAGAGTCAAATTGACACGACGTGAATACACTCTGGAAATTTACACCAACACTAGGTGGCATTATACTCAGTCTGTTGTTGTATTAGCTCTGAAAGAGTCAATCAATTTTAACACAGCATATTTAACACTGCGAAATTTACTGTTTTTGTGCCGCTATTCCTTTTTTCAGCCACTAGATGACTTCCTGGACCCGACCCAACACCTCACAACCTCCACTTATTGTGTTTTTCAATAAATTCACTTTCACTAAACCTACTCTACTATGTTGTGTTCTGCATGTCGGCTAGAAACCTAGACTCCAACATGACATGTTGTCCATTTGTCACTTCTGCTCCTCCAGAGACAAAAGAAACATGCATCCCAAAGCAAACAAAGAGCTCTCAGTGCTTACGTATTTTTATTTGTAATTAACATAACCTATCATTACACATCAGATGACCGAGTAAATTGCAACATTTTTATTTATAGTACTGGTAATTCATTTTGATAATTTCTTACACAAAATGTCCATATGTCCATCAAAACAGTGAACATTTTGACCTGGATAAATGTAGATTTGAAATGACTACAGGAAACATGGAAAGATGTACAGGCTGGACAAGGAAGTAACATGACAACAGGTTTAACAATCTCATCTCCGTATGTTTTATTCCAATCAGATTAGTTTGACAATTTATAGTTAGATCCAATAAATGACACATCATCCCTCTTGTCCAGTTTCATTCTGCAACAGAAATTCATGTTGGAAGTTTAAACACTTTAAATGTTAACCAGAATGATCCACACAGCCACTAAAGAGGATTTCAATAAATCGTGTCACCAAGTAATGACTTCTCCTCCTGTGACTCTTCACATTGTGGATCAATTAATTTCTTCCAGCCCTGGTGAATCTTATCTAAGTGAACCTGAGCCTCATTCTTCACAGCCTCTGCTGTTTTCTGTGCTGCTTCCTTTGGAGTCTCTGCTACTTCAGCCACATCGCACCCAATTAAAGCCCCTTTAACAGCACCTGTTGCAGCTACTGCTGCAGCAGGTGCTATAACGCCAAGAGATGTCGCTGCTGGTATCACACCGCCCACTAGTGCTGCTGATGCCATCCCTGCTGAAACTACAACTGTTCTCCCAACCGCCTTCCTCAGCTTTACTGGCTCTGAAGATTCCTGTAAAACAGTAAGAACTGCTCCAACCATGACCACCACACCAAAAATCGCCCCTAACAAAACACCGACACCAAGGGCCGTACAGATGATCAAGAGTTTATCAGCAACCCTTCTCTTGGCCTTTTCTCTGATCTCTTCTTCCGGCAGGTTTCCTGAGACCTGTCGAATGTTCTCCTCCTCTTCTTTTATTCTTCCTCGGCCGCCTGCAGCAGGTCATTGGTGTAGCATTTGCCCTTGTTTTCCGTTACCAAAGTGTCAATAGTTTCAAGAAGCCTCTCCATCTGGAACAGGTTGCTCCTGTATTCTTTCTGTTGCCTATTGTTCCAGTACTTGTTGTCCATGACGTGGCAGCGGCCGCCACACCTCTTCACCAGTTCACTCACAAGCTTATTGCCCCTGAGAAACTCCTCAATCTGCTCCCCATCAGGCAGCTGGTCGCCATGAGTGAACACCACCACGGCATATTTAAGAACATCTTCAGAGAAGTACGTGCAGATTTTCTCGATAATAGCCTTCTCGTGCTCTGTGAATTTCTCCACCTTGAGCACAATGAGGAACACATGGGGCCCAGGAGCGCACTCTGTGATGCACCTCACTATCTCAGGCTTCAGCGCCTCCTCCGACCGGTCTGTGTCAAAGAAACCCGGGGTGTCGATGACCGTGAGGTTTCTCCCACCGACGGACCTGGTGATGGCTTCGCAGTGGCTTGTTTCAGAGTTGATTGTGTGGTTGATCGTGAACAGCTGGTCTCCACATATTGTGTTGGCCAGGCTGCTTTTACCAGATCCGGTTTTTCCCAGGAGGACCATTCTAATTGGTGCTGCAACCAAAAGAGAGTAATGCTCATTAATTGTATTTTGCTTCCTGTACACTGTACGTGTGAAAATTGTGAATCTTTAGCTTTCAACATTACATGTATGCATGATTTCTTGAAAATCCATAACACTTAAAAAAAAGAAACTCACAAAAATGTCCTAATTAAAAGTGTAATAGACATAATGCAGACACCCACTCTTGCTATTGGAATGAAGAGGGAAAGTAATGAGAGAAATGTCTTAATTTATCATCATCCAATTCAATTCCTCTACAAAGTTTGGATGTTTGTTCATCTAGACCAGGGATGTCAAACCCGTTTTCATTTTGGACCTCATCAAAAATTTGAATGTTCTTAAAGGGCCGGTTGTACCACAATGGATAAAACCAATTCAATTGTTAAAATGTCATAAATAGCTTTTCCTTCTGGATTTTGTGATTGTTTTACTGTTTTCTTTGCAGTAAAATTTGCAAATTTTATGGTACCAATTTAGAAATGTTTGATAGACCGTGTCCCTCGAGGAGCCCTGTGGGGGTTCTCTGGGAGCATTGGGTACTGGGCCCTTTGATACGGTCTGTCAGGTCCCTATATATGACCCGTGTCAGAGTCTGGTCCGCATTGCCGGCAGTACGTCAGGCTCATTTCCGGTGAGGGTTGGACTCTGCCAGGGCTGCCCTTTGTCACTGATTCTGTTCATTACTTTCATGGACAGAATATATCATGTTAGTCTAGAAGAGAAAGGTGAAAATGCGACATGTAATTTTTGCCCTCATAGCAACAGTTATATATTATAAACAATTTGACTCTCACAAACTTCCTTTCAACATCACATGTTGCAACAAAACTGGTCACCATGAATGGATGTGTTGCTGTTAACAGACACAGTCTAAAGTAAAACTAAAATAATTTTGGTGAACAAAGCAGGTGGTTAAAGTCCAACCAGTCTAAGCTTGATGTTGCAACATGCAGCCAAGCCATTGTGGACAGAGTTTCCTGGTAATAGTTCCTTCTCCTAAGATTACATTTATTAATTAAGTTTAATGATAAATATTTGAACATATATTTTAAAGTTCTAATAAGAGGAGATCCAAAATAGTTTAACATATTCTAGCATGTTATTTAAGTAATAAAATTGTTACTTTCCCTGGTAATTGGTATCTTTTACAATATAGTAATTCAGTTATTAACTCAGCTACTTTTATGAAAATATAACTAGTTTTCAAAAGTAACTTGCCCAATACTGGTTATTATTTTGCATAAAAAACTATTTTTATACAACAAACACAAAAACACTATTAGTAAAGAAGATGATAAAAAGTTGACAAAACTAACAATAATCCCAACTGGCCTGTCAAGAGTGTTGTTGAACTGAAAGAATCTGATAAACTGATAAACTTAGAAGACAGGGAAACCTTCATTTTAAAATAAGAAGCCAATAAGCAAATATAAATTGTACAAAGAGGTATCCAAGCCCCACTTTGTACGTCAGACTTTTCCTTCTGGGGCAATTGTGCAGTTACAGTAAGTATTGTCTTTGATTGGTCGTCTTAATATGTCAAACACTGAAACAGGGAAGCGGCCTGACTGGTTTGATGGCTAGCAATAATGTTCTATTGCAGCTTAACATCAGATGTTAAGCTGCAATAGACGCACACGCACCCCCCCCCCCCCCCCACCCACACACCCACACACACACACACACACACACACATCCGCGAACACACACACACACGCACGCACACACACATGCGCGAACACACACACACACACACACACACACACACACACACACACAACACACACACACACAAACACACACACACACACACACATTCCTTATGCACTCCCCAGAAAATGTGCGCTAAGTTTTAGGGTATACCGTAATCAAGAAGTTTTTGGTTTTTAAATGTGAGACATGCAATGGATGCCATTTTGCCCAGACTCTTTCTTATTGCTTGATCTTGATCTCTGATCTTGACAGAGACAAGTGAGAAGAGTTCAGTATTGTTTAGTCACATTTAAGTATAACGGAAGTCCTAGAAAATGTGAATGCATAGAAGGAAAGTGCCTTAAAAGGATCTATAAATTACAGTCCCAAAGAGTGAAACCTTATCTTTAAAATAGTTAAAATTTGACTGTAAAAGATTTTAAGGTAAACCTTACTCACCATCCATGATAAGTGTCAAAGTTCAGATGCAGGATCAGTCTTCTAAAATGAAGATGTTATGTCCTTTGTTAGAGATTTGCCGTCTGAGACAAAATGTTCAAGTAGCTTTGATGTATTTTCTGTTTCTGCAGTCAGCCAAGCCCAGATTTGGGTGTGTTCATAATTTTACATGTTCTCTCTGAACTTCCTCTAACCCTTCCTCTCTCTGTCAGTTTTTTGACTATACAATGTTCAGACTTCAGCAAGAATTTATCTGCAGAATGACAGTTCTCTTCTTGTCAGCACAATGAGAGGAAACAGAAACCTAGTGGGTTGAAACCACACATTTGTGCAGAGCTACTGCACTTAAAGCAGATGTTTCTGTACAAACCACATTGTATCATTTATGACAAAGATCAGAAGTTTTTAATCTCAAAAACAACTCCTGTGTGGTTTTTGGGTGTGCTTAATATATTGATTCTTTTAAAAACTAGAAATATCCTGAAGAAGAATTGAATAAATCATGTTTTATGCAGTTAACACTATGTGTTAACTGCATAAAGATATATATTTAATAAAATACTCTTAGCAATTTATTGGTGAGTTATTCGTTCAGGGTGGTAAAATGTTCTCACGAGTTTTCCATGTTATTACAAAATGTTTATTACAGAATAAAGTGATTTCTAGAATGTAGATTTTAAAGAAAAAGTGTCTCCAACACGGAAGCTGCATATACTTACTAATCAGAATAGTTTTATTCTCTCAATTAAATCTGAAACACCCTCTTACTCTGCTGATTTTATTCGTGGTGCCTGTGTTTCACATTTCAGTCCAATTTGAAAATGTTTTGATAAGTGCTGTAATTCCACTGAATAAATTAGACATTTTAAATCTCTCCAAATGAAGAGATATTTTATAAAACAGTCCAAGACTACAAAGCAGCTAATTTGGGATTAGCACTCTAACTAGCCTATCAGGTCCTTAACTTGGGGCTGAAACTATCTGGTCTAGA